TAAAATCTTTAAAAAAAAAAGAATTTTCCAAATATTCACATTCTACATTATTTAGTTATTATTAGTAGTTTATTTTTTAAAATTAGGAATCAATAGCGCTGATCATGGAGTCTGCAGCCACCTCAGGTCTTCTTAGGTTTAAGAAAAGATTCTGAAAATTTAGGATCCCAAGACTGTAATGGTCCCATTGGGGCATTTACATATTCAGGGTAAGGGACAGGGACCAGGGTTTGCCTGCACAGCGGCATCAAGGGCTTCTCTTCAGTGTAGCTTCTCACACAGTGGAACAGCCCAGGGGCATGATGACAAACACTTTATCCAGATGGGAAACTGCTGGGGCTCCACAGACTCATGCCCCTCTGGAGCCAGTCTCTCCTCCGCATAGTGTCCAAGTGCTCTGCAAGGGACACATCCAGTTAGAAGAGTCCCTGAACTCAGGGGCTCTTTCAACCAATGTTGAAACTCATTCAACCAATGTTGTGGTTTGCTACCGGGTATATTTTGTTCTGTCTACATGCAGTTGATCAATCAGGGGTCCATTTTTACCAGCAACAGAGCAACATCCTTCACAAACCACCTTATCAGGTTGCCAGGGGAACGGAGCTAGAAAGTTAACATAAGGTCAAATTCTCATACAGAAGGGGCTAGGATTTTGTTAACCCTTTACCCACATAGACGTTTTCCGTGAACTTGATTATAATGGATTTTTTTGTATGTTAATAGACTATACTTGTAATCCTTTATTTAAGGCCTTTTGCAATTATATTTATATCAGAGATGAGCTGTATATTTGTGTGAGAAAGCTATTTTTTTCCAGAATTAAATATCAATAACTCCTTAGGAATAATTATAAGCACTCCTCTTTAGATATTTAAAAGAGTTTAAGGAGTATTGGAATTATTTACTCTTCAAAGGGATGATGTGCTCTGTGGTATAACTAGAACTGCCCTGTGTGGGCTGGAAAGGCCCTAGACACACTATTTCATAAAATCATTACTGATGATCATGTGAAGGACACAACATTAGGGAATATCTTTGTAAAAAATGAAAATGTTAGTGTATTTCACTGCTCCTTGTTGCTCTGACAAGGCACTTTAAGAAAGAGATGAGCTCGGCCAAAAACTGGTTACTCTGCAAGCAAGAATGCAAAGAAATGAGAATGTCCAGAAATTAAGGGCCTCCTAGGATTGAAAAAGACAACAGCTTTGATGCCCCAAACATTAATATCAACATAGGGATGTAAGCTTTATGGCAAGGATCACAGTCAGGGTGTTGCCCTTCCAAACAACCCTCTTATTTCAGCTCGCTTCAAGGTGGCCTCCATTAAGATGAGAGAGTAAGGTATGGACACAGGGAAGCAAAGAAATAAAGCAGGTTTCAGAACTAGGAGTCGAAAAGATTTTGGTTATGGGTATTGGTACAAGGAACTGACTGGAAACGATTAGATCAGATGCCTATTGGGGTCTTAAAGAAATCTGGTAGCCAAGGAAACCAGGAGCCTGGCCTGCAAATATCTCTGTTAGCCCCTTAAAGCAACACTCAGACCCTTAAGTTTGTACCAGTAGACAAAGAGCTGTGAATGATGGATAGCTTAGAAAGAAGACACATGTTCCAACAGTCCCTCCTGGTGTGGCCATGGAAGACGAATGAACACAGTTGGGGAAACAGAGGTGACCCGACTGTCTGACATAGGCATTTCTTCTGCTATTGGAGCAGAGAATCACCATAATTCTTGCTCAGCTTGGGGTCAAAACTGCAGTGAACAGGCAGCTGCATGCTCCTCATTCTTCCCTTTTCTTAATAGGAGTTCTTAAAGCAGGTATCCTGTCCTTATGCCACCACTGTATGTGGGATAGGGGGAGAAAGAGCTTGCTGAGAGCCACTACGAGAACTTGATAGAAGACACACATTTTCTCTGCCTCCTGCCCGGACACCATCTCACAACACACCATCACCTTACTCAGTCTCTCTTTAAATGTCACCTCTCCAGAGGGGCCCAAATCACTCTACCTAAAATCCCACCCCATTTCCTATCAGCTTATCCTTCCTCTACTCTCTCTTCATACCTTTATCCTCTCTTCACAGCACTTATTCCTCGACACCCCCACCCCACTCCAGTGTAAACGCTCTCAGGGCACAACCTTGTCTTTTTCCCAGCGGAAGTCCCAGTACCAAGAAATGGCCAATACATTGTATGCTCTCAATAAATATTTGTTGAAAAAAAAAAAGACAAAACAGTGGAGAGCCTCTAAATGTCCAAGTGTCTGAAGTTGCGCTTGGGTGATCCTATTTTGTTATTTATCTGCATCACATTGTGATTAGTGATAATTATCTGTGAGTGAGAACACTGCAATTAGTACTTGCAAGGTGGCATTATCCGGTGGGAAACCAAACCCAAAAATTGTCCTATTGGAAAAGTAAAGATATGGTGAAAGGCAAACTGTTTAGAGCTGGTTGTGTTCAAGACTGAAGCAGTAAAATGTCACTCCCATGGGAACTTCACCTCGTTTCAGGAATGGGGGTGAGAGCTACAGCTTACTAACCAGGTAGACCTTGGAAATCCTTTAGCATCTCCTCATTCCATGATTCAACAGAGACTGATCTAATCAGCTTCTGCTGACTCAGGGGAGAAGTTAAAGTTCACCAAGCAGAATTAATTCAATCCAATCCAACATTTAGTATTTACTGAATCTAAACCTTGTGCCAGGACTTGTGCCCTCCTATTGGTTACTGTCTCAGAGAACTCAGCGTGGTAGAGGAGCAATGCATGAAGCACACTGCTTTCGAAGTGACAGTATGGGATACATAGTGTTGTAATTATACCACAAGAGTCTCAGCCTGGCAAAAGACTCAGAAAAGGCTTCCTGGGTAAATGTCAGCTAAACTTGGATCCAAAGGGCAATTGGATTGTCTAAATGAAGAAGGCAGATGAATGGAGTGTTTTCTAAGCCAAAGAAAAAGATATGGGAAAAAATGTTAAAAGGCCTGCTGATGAGGCAGGCACTTTTGTTTCAGATACCGTCCTGTTTTCACCTATCACCTATCCTCCTTTCCTTCTATCTCCAGTTTGTAGCCTATAGGTTAGTCCCTTCTTGATACTCATCCATTGCTCTGCTAGAGCTTCTTTGCAAATCCAATCCAGGAATCAATAAACAAAGAAAATGGCTAAGGAGTAGCCGCTGGAGCCTGGAACCAAGCCTACATTACACTTACAAAAATTTGATTTTCTGCAGAAAAATATTTTGACTCCTACATTTTTGGACTTCATTAGAAAGATCTGAAATAGATGACACCAAGCTGTTTGCCTAAAATAATGTCCCAAGCCTGAATTGGCATGGATATTTCCTGAGATTAAAATAGAAACTTGTTTTGCTAACAGAAAACAACTTGGAAATCAAAGAGTCATTTAAGTTGAAACCATTATTTTTCCTTTTCTTGCATAAAATTCCTGTTTTTATACACACCAAGAAATCTGGATAGTGAGATCACCCTGCCACAGAACTTTCCATTAAAAATTTGAAGTTGGAGAACTCCCAAAAAGAAAATAAAGATAGAAAAAAAGTTTGTAATGTAACAAACTCATTCAACAAATATTTATGAGCACCTACTACGTGCTAGGCACTGTTCGAGGCACTAACAAAGAAACTGCCCCTTGAAGAGTTTGCATTCTAGCAGAAAGAAGACATAAAAACAGGAAATATATAGGATGCTGGAAGACCAGGGGTATGGAGCAAAGACATAGAAGACCAAATCATGGGGCATCCTGAGGGGACTTTAAATTTGGGTGGTCATGGTTGGATTCCTCAAAGAGGTGACATCTGAGCAAAACCTGAAGAAGTGAGAATGTGAACCAACATCTGGGCCCAGGCAGAAGTATCAGCCAGTCAATGGTGCAAAGGCAGGGGCATGCATGCCTGGAGGCTGTGAGAAAGGCAAGGAGGTCATGGGCTAGGGGAAGCTTGAGAACAGGAGACAAGGTCTGAGAGATATGAGAGATGGCACATCTCTGCACCAGGAAGTCACTGGGACAGGGTTTGAGAAGAGGGGTGACTCAATAGATAATATTTTAACATGCATTTTAGAATGATCGTTGCGTGTTTTCATTTGAACAGTCTTAGTACTGTATTATTATTATTTATTTATTTTTTACTCTGCAACAACAGAATGATTGTTTAAAATAGTTTCTAAATGTTCTCCCCAAGATCAGACACCACAGACTGCTAAGTAGTTACAGCCCGCCCTCTCTGGCCTGCACGTGCCCCTGGAGGGGCAGCCGTTGCTATCCTTCTAAATGCTCGAAGTTGAGCTGGCAGAGATAGAAACAGTCTGCACGTTCCTTCTACAAAACTCGACTGGAGAGCCAAACATTTCTTTCGGTTGGTTACAAAATAAAAAACAAGCCTTTGCCAACTCTGCGGGAGAAGCAAACTCCCGGAGTTTGCCTCCGCTAATTTGTCCAAGTCGTCAGTCGTGATGTGGTTTCACTCCGTGTAGATACTGCTCAGCTCCTGCCCCAGAAACGTCTCCCGTCTCCGGCTTCTCCGCCCTCCGGTGGAAGCCACGGCTCGCCCCTGCGGTCACCACCTGTTCGGGCGGAACCCGCGGAGCGCGCACCTACGCCCCGGGCCCCTTCCCTCCTCGGCTCACCCTTTCCTGCTGAGCGCCCTGCGTTCCCTCGCTCAGGCCGGGCTTGCAACTTTCCTCGCAGCCTGGCGCTCGCCCCACTTGGCTGGCCCTCAAGAGACGCCGCTTCCCTTGGCGATCCGGCTCCCGAGCTTCCCGCTGAGGGGCCAAGCGGCCTCACCCGCGGCCCTGCGCTGCGAGGGCGGCAAGGCAGGCGCACGCGCGCCCCCCGCCCCCTGCGCCCCTCCCCGCGGGCGGTGCAGCTCCCCCTGCAGCACCTCCCCTCGAGGGGAGGGAGCCAGAGGGGGCTCCCGGCGTCGCGCCGCAGACCTGCCCCGGCTGCGCGCGGCGCAGCTCTCTTCCGACAGCAGCTGCAGTGGCGGCGGCGCCCGCACTCCTCCCGGAGCCAAGGAGACGAGCGCCTGTCTCCTCCGCGCGCAGCACCCCCAACCTGTTCCCCGCGCGCAGTGGCGCTGCCGCCCGCGATTCGCCGCCCGACATGGATTTCCTCCTGGCGCTGGTGCTCGGCTCCTCGTTCTACCTGCAGGCGGCCGCCGAGTTCGACGTGAGGTGAGTTGGGCCACGGGGCGCGCTCTTCTAGCGCTAATTTCGCGCTCGCGGTGCTGGGGTCCTCTCTCCCCGCCGGGTTGCGCGCCCAGAAGTTGGGCGTCGGCGGGAGGAGAGCCGTCGAACCGCTCTCGCAAGCTGTGGCCGTCCGAGGCGGGGGAGGGTGCCCCCTGAGAGTCCGGGAGCCCAGCCGCGGCTCCGGCTCGGGGACTGGGGCCAGGGGAGGAGTAGGAAGGCTCCTGGAGCCCCGCACCTCGGCTGGGAGGGCGCGGGCTAGCCTCGTAAGCCCAGGTGATGCCCCGGACCCCGCCGGCCAGGAAGCTCTCGCGTGGGATTTAGACGGCTCTTTGAGCGGCGCAGCTTCAGGTGGCGGGGCCAAAGCCGTGCTGGACGCTGTCGGGGCCGCTCACACAAAGGGCGGGGGCGTAGGAGCGATGGGGCTTCCCGGGAGGACCCGTTTGCCTCCGCACTTGGTTTTCTTGAGGGAGGAGGACTTAAAATAAGGACTGGGGCGGGGTGAGGAGCGCTCCGTGTGTGTTTGTGTACGGCTACGCACGCACACACAGCTCCGGGACCTGGGGCGAGCCTGGCTGCAGCGTGCTCTGACAGGTTCCAACAACCCGGGCTCCGTCGCCGCTGTCACTCAGCCGCTCCTCTGGCGGCGGCGCGCGGCGCTCTGTGCCGCCGCGGGATCCGCTCGGGCGAGTGTGTGTGTTTGTGTGTGGGGCGGGGGGGTCAGGAGGGCGTGCTCGCTTACCCCACCTCCGTGCCATTAGAGACCAGACCCGCCCCGAGCGCCGATCGCTGCTGCTCGCGCAGAAACCAGGCTGGAGCAGCGGGCGGAGATTTTAACCGTGGTCTCGCCGCGGTCCAGCCTTCCTCTTTCAGAGAACCCCCCCACCCCCGCTCTGACCCCGCCGCGTATCCCTCTGCGCCTCCCCAAAGACAGCCGCACCTGTTTCACTTGTAATCTTGGAACGAATCAGTTCCGCGATTGATTAGCTTTCTTGTACCTGGAGGGGAACGGGAACCGGGGGAGCCAGTGGAGCGTTCAGGAGGAAAAGCGCAATCGCTAGTTTACCACCTGGTCGGAGGAAATCGAGAGTTCGGGATTATTTTGTACTTTGGGCTTGAGGGCATAGGAGGAGAGAAAAGAACCGGGAATTGGAAAGATTAGGAGTGTTTTGAGAAAATGTGGGGAGCGGCCAGAGGCTGGTTTATTTTATTAAAGCAATTCTTTGCTCACATTCGGGTATGTTGTGCATTTCTGGCACACACATTTGCAATAGGAAATATATCACATGGTTATGCACAAGATTTTAAAGTAGCTTTAATTTTAAAACAGCCAATTAAAACATTGACCCTCTGGGGGCAGAAATCAGGTGTGAATATAAACAAAGAAAAGATTCACCAAATAAGGAGTGAAAGTGGAATCTGGTGGATAAATTGGTATACTGAAATTGAATACTTTTAGCCCTTATTTACATGAGTGAGGAAGATAACATGAATTGTTGATGCAGAAAAGTTTTAAACCCCAAGGACATTTGAGATGTTAGCTACCCTTTAAACTCTTCTTGGTTTTATTTATACTGTTCCCACCCCCACCCCCACCCCACCCCCGAACATTTTCTGCCAAAGAGTCTTGCAAAGAGGTCTGATTCATTTGATTTTGAGGACGCTCCCATCTTTCTGCCCTTTTCTAAGGCAGAAATAAAAGGCAGAATTTTTTTTCTTTTGGCTTTGACATGTCCTATTATTTAATACTTTTCAGTTTATGATAAATCAGTCAGAACTGGTTTTCCACCAAGTAACAGGTGTGGGTCTTTGAGGAATCTGTTTTATTTCAAGCTTCAGAAACCACCCTGTGAGTGTCAGCCTTGAGAATTCTTGGTTTTAGCTGGTGCTTTTTCCATTTAAGAAAGGGTCTTCCCCTCCCTTTCCCCCTACTCCTGTGTGTAGTGTGTAGAGTGTGTGTGTTTAACTTTCTGAAATTTGGAATTAGATCACAGCAGAACTATTTTCCTGAATATGTTTTATCCTTAAATTTCTGCAGGCATGAAGGAGTTCATCAAAAATTGTTGGGTGTGACTTAAATTTTAAAAAATAATAACAGGAAACTATTTTTAATTTCAAAAGTGTCTTTATTTATTTTGAATCTTTTTGTTTGGTAGGTGGCCCAGGCAAATAGTGTCTTCAATTGGCCTGTGTCGTTATGGTGGGAGAATTGACTGCTGCTGGGGCTGGGCCCGCCGGTCCTGGGGACAGTGTCAGCGTGAGTATCATCCCCCAGGGACTTTCCATCTGAGAGGTGCAGCTTTCCACCATCATACATGGCTTCACTCTGCACATCATTGGGTTCATTACTGAGCAAGACTTGGTGGTGTGGTTCCAACATTCCTTGCCCCTTCTCAACCTGAGGCAACAGTCTTAAGGTGCCTGCTTTGTTATTCAGAGAACCACCTATGATGCTTACTGTAGCATTTGTCCCCAGTACTTCCAGCTCCTTTTCTCATCAGACCTTTTCTGTGCTCCAGACTCTGAGATGGGGGTGAGATAATTAGTCTAGACTGTATTTACACTAAACAGACTCTGAACCTTATAGCACTAATAAAATTCTTACCATACCTGTTGTGGAAAGTGGCCTATTTGTAAACCTTTTTATTTTTTATTTTTTGAAGTGAGATTGTATTGACTGTGTTCTAAATGGACCACCCACCATAATAAGTAACACCTGTGAAAAAGCATTATTTTTAAGTTCTAGAAGTAATCATGTAATAAGAGCCAAATCAGAACACTGATATTTACCTTTTCCGTGGATATTTTAATGGTAGAAATCAGAGCCACAACATGGAAATTTGAGAAATTTGTTCTTTGCAACTTTATCTGGGTCTCAAAATTGTATTCCACTTCCCCTATGAGAAAATCTGCAATTATCAAGTGAATTTCTGGGGCATTGTGCTAGGTTGGTGTGTTTGGTGAGATGATGGGAACGAAGTTGGATTCCTTATATCCCAGTGTTTTATTGTTCATGAGAAAGGAGCTTAGAGTAATAGAAAGGTGGGTTGAAGGAGGCTGGAGCTGGACAGGGCTGAGCTTGCCTTAGAGATATGTTAAAGGTGGGAGCAACTGGGTAGATTTAAGTTTAGGAAAGCTAAGAATACCCACAGCTGTTTTCATCTTTGAGAATTGTGCGTATCTGCCCTTAACCTTGAGGAGGAGGGAGAGTAATGGTCATGGGTTGACATCCCTGGTTGGATACGGAACGGGAAAGCAGATTAACGTTTGTCTGTTAACCTGCAAGCTGCTGGGCCAGACTTTTGCACGGTTGGGCCGTTGACCCTTTTTATAAGGGGAGATGATGGTAACTCTAGTTTCCAGTAAACAAAAGAATTAGGCAAAGCTGCTGTGTCCTACTGGTTGTTTTTAAGGGAAGATGGTCCAAAAGAAGAATGGTACCTGGTGGAGTTGTCTTCTGCCCATTATACTAGGGTGTCCGAAGTATTCACCAGGGTAGGGATGGGTATTTGAAGAGCAATCAGGCTTTGATAATCAAAGGGTGAAGAGAGGACCCTTCTCTTGGCCCAACACGCACACGCTGTTCCCAAATTTAAACAAATGAGTAGTTTCTTTGCAGGAATGGAGATAATTTCCTCTTTTGCTGCCTTAATTGGCAGGGCACTCCCAAAATGAAGGTTGGAGTGCTTTGGGGTGTGCACAGTACCCCAGGCCTACCTAGGACAAAGCTGTTTTGGCAGAAGGCCCTGAGCACAATGGAGCACACCTTCTCTGGAGTCAGAGTGCCAGAGCATTCGGCAGGGGCAGGGGTGCAGGGGTGTAGGAGTACGTATGCACTCTGCCAGATGCACTCTAAGAATGTCAAGGAGAAAATTCCTCTGTCTCTGAGAGGTTCATCAACTGTGGAATTCCCCAGAAAGAACCTCTCTGAGCTGTTCGGTCTTTTTACATGTAATTAAATTTTCTCTGGTATACAGCAGCTGGGTGATTTCTGAGTTTGATTGAGCGTAAAGACCTTTCCAAGTTACAGTGGCTTACTGAATTGAAATATCCAAGTAAGTTCCTAGCATACTAGCTTTCCCAGCAGAGATGAGACACTGTTTTATTATTTTCTATACCTTTGTTTTGCTTCTAACAGAATGCAAAGTGGTGAAGTGTAATAATTGATAGTATTCATCTTTTCTTTCTTTGTATTCCTTGAGAATCTGAGGAAGCTGTAACAATTGACAAGTCAGTTATTGAATGGTGATGTTATAAAAACGTCTAAGATGATCTTGCACAAATCACAGTTTATCTCAACTTAGATTTGGTGAAAAGTTTGAGAAGCAATGTAATGGAGGGGAATGTGGACTTGAGCTAGACTGCCTGGGTTTAAATTTCAGTTCCACCCCCTTATTAGCTGTGTGACCTTGAGCAAGTCATTCAACTTCTCTGTGCTTTATTTTCCTCATCTCTGAAATGGATATAAAATAGTACAATACCTCACAGGACCGTAAATGAGGTGTAAATGAGTTATTCATAAAGCACTTAATGCTGTTCCTGGCACAGAGTGAATGCTATGTATATGTTTGATGAAAGTAAAGAAATATGAAGAAATACTGCTTTTGAAAGAGTGCTCTGGAATGGGACATGCCCATGCTATCAGGTTCTTTGTTTTCTAGACATGATAAATGTATTTTTGCATTTTACTGCCAAAATAAAAACAATGATTCCAAGGCTCTCCGTGTACAATAAAATAAAATGCTTTTAAATTAAAAAAAGCCAGGTGGACCATTACCATTAGTATTATAAATGGCAGAGTTGTAAAAACAAGTTCAAAGATGGATGTTTACTTGTGTTTTTTTGTTTTTGTTTTTTCCAGAATCTCAGATGGTCCAAATGTCTCCTGTCAGCTTAGAGCTCCCCTGTCTTTGTTTTGCTATAAACAGGTAGAGGAATGTAGGGGCCAGAGGTCAGCTCAAAGTAGGAAGAACACCAAACAGAGGCTTGCTAGGGACAAACAGAAAGCTCCTGATTAGTTTTTAAAGGAAACTTTTATGCAATTGAAACTTTTGTCCCTCCATTTATTCAAGGAAAAAATGCCTTGCTGTTCATTAACTCTTATACCTGGTAATGGACTACCTACAAAGATTCCAAAAAGCTTCTGGGAAATTTAATGTGAAAATTGTTTTTGTCTTTCTGACCCTCAGATCATTTCAGAGTTCTTACCCATGAGGAGCATTCTCCTTTCCTCAGCAAAGGTTTGGTTCTTGTTTTTCCCAACGATTCACTTAGGAATTTTCCTTCAGACTAGCTCAGCAAAGCAAAAGTAAGCTATCTCCACCTAGACAAAGAAGCTCCCACTTTATCCCTTAGAAGATGTGCAAGTGGGGGAGGCCATACCCTCATTGTATATATATTTTTATTATATCTCACGTCCTAGTGCCATGACCCTTTGGTGTTTAATCCATTTGGTCGAGCATATATAAGATGTTTTGACTCTCTTGCTATGAGACAAGCAGATGTATTGATAGAACATGCTTGCTACTCCCCTTTCCATGGCCTTGTTTGGGGTCAGTTGACTTTGCATACAGCTCGTATTGCTCAGCCCCCACTCCTGGTCACAGTGTCCAGCCACAAGCCGCATTCAGCTGGACTTCTCATCCTTCCTTCAGACACTGAGGAAGGAAGGATGCTACCCAGACATGCATAGGAGCTATCTTCTGCTTCCTGCCCGTGCCACCTGACATTCTATCCCAACGTTCCTCCCCGGTTGCAGAAAGCAGGACCTAGTCCAGAAACAGGTTGTGTTTTCATAGTTCTTTTAGAGGTCATACCCTTACCTTCTTTCTATCCTTTGATTCTTTGTTTTATATTCTTTTTTTTTTTTAAGTTTATTTAGATTCCGGTCAGTTAACATACAGTGTAATGTTAGTTTCAGGGGTACAGTATAATGATTCAGCACTTACATACATCACCTGGTACTTTTCACAAGTGTCCTCCTTAATCCCCATTCCCTATTTCACCCATCCCCCCACCCACCTCCATTCTGACCCATAGATAGGTCCCTATGCATTGAGAATTCAGAACTTGATTTTCCAGTTGTCTTGAGCTTTATCTTTATCAACTATTGATGTGGCTTTTTGTGGTAAAGTGAGATTTTCTTAAGCACAAACATTGATAGTTACAGATTTACAACACACCACATCTTAATTACTCAGATTGTCACAAAATACTCGTTTCTTGTTCTGTAATTATTCTATTCCTTCACTTTCCCATCATATTAATGGTACATTTCACTTTAATGATTTTAACAATTTCTCCTACCAAGTGGGGATCTCTGTAAAAAACGATTTCTCAAGGTTTGTGTATTTTATTTTAAAAAACAACTGTGTATGCTGTGGAACTCTTAACTAAAAGCATTAAGTAGTTTGGGACACATGAGTGTCATTAATGTTTATATCTGGTTAGCTATTTATTTAATTTTTTTTAAAAAGATTTTATTTATTTATTTGACAGAGATCACAAGCAGGCAGAGAGGCAGGCAGAGAGAGAGGAGGAAGCAGGCTCCCCGCTGAGCAGAGAGCCCGATGCGGGGCTCGATCCCGGGACCCTGAGATCACGGGACCCTGAGATCACGACCTGAGCTGAAGGCAGAGGCTCAACCCACTGAGCCACCCAGGCGCCCCTACCTGGTTAGCTATTTAAAGAGCTTCCCTAATATAGAAGGAGTATAGAGGATCTAAATATTGTATTTCTGTATGGTTGTTTTTCTGTTTACTTGACTTACAGATTTGGCTGTGTATTTGGCTATGACAGTAGTGTTTCTGTGGAAGGCACTTTTTAGAGGTGTGAAGAAAAATTCAAAATACAACAAGTTCCAGGTTTTAACAAAGCTGTTTTCTGAGTTCTTTGACTATCACTGAGCAATTTGTGGTTTCTGAAGGATATATGTGAATTAGGGTGATTTTGTATCATTTTTCCTTAAAACCAGGCAAAATGCAGATGTTCTGGTATATTTTTCTGAAAAATTTGGAAAGATGTAAAGCCTGTATCTGGAGTTTGACTTTGCTTTATTAGTTCTAAACCTCATTTCTTCTTACCCCATCCCTGAGGTTAGTAAAGGCTACAGCTGTACAACTGTCAGGGAAAGTGAAATTTTTGAATTCTTATCAATGTTAAATAAATGTATAGGTTAGTGTGACAGGGGACGGAGAAGCAGTAATTTATTCTGAAACTATTTTGAAGTTGTTAAATAATTTTGCTGGATAATATATA